CCGTTGAGCTCAACTCATTGCGAGAATTACATTGCATCCCAGGCAAAATCAGGATCAATTACTGCATCCCGCGATAAAGTGCGAGCTGAAATCAGGTTGAAAAATGACGTGGGGTACGGGAGGTGCATTCGACCTGTGGCCCGATGTCCGATGTTACGTTAGGCGGGATGGTTGAGGGTGGTTCTTTATAGTATTCCATCAGATGACGGTCTACATTCATCCATGGAGAAACCCCGGAGGCAGCTAGATTTTATCCAAGACATCAATAAAGAGGGCCAGACGAGTAATTTCTTGTCACACCACAGTGCCCTTATTCTTACTGACTATTGCTCATGTAGTAATAATATTACTTGTTTTCCCTGGAGGCTGGCAGACTTCCTTGATCTCGCAGACCAATAACACTACTTTTTTGAATGCCTGTGCATCGACTTGATTTCACATCATTCCCAGGTTCCCTTCAGCATCGTAAACTTCGTAGCATATCGGCTGTCCTCAAGCGCAACCCATTCCCTGTGTTTCGATGGATCTACTCGGTCTCAAAATTTCAGATGGGACCGATGAGGATTCTCTTTATAAAATTGCATCTGTCTGAGATCGGACTCTCTGCTTTTGAGTTTTCCAGTTGTACATGGAGAGAGGGAAACAGTTAGAAATCATTTGTAAACCGCAGGCCCTGATCGGCAACTCCAGAAATTTCCTCAGGAATCTGCCAGAATCTGCCAGAATTCCATTTGCAGCCACTTTCTCACGCAATTCGTCCCTAAACTATCCTACACATGTAAATTCTCAAATATAGTGGAGATGAGGTGGTAGAGAAACCTGTGTATCAGAACTGGCAGAACATTCTAGAGTTCAACAAGAAACCATCCCAGAACACTCTGATAGCATCACCTCGTACTACCCCCGCCACTCTCAGTGCTCCAGCATTTGAAAAGAGCAAATATTTAACATTCTCAAAGAATTTAGGGATGAATAATGTGTGAACTGTGGAGGCCACAAAATTCTGGGGGTAATTTCTGGAGTTGCCGAGTAAACAGTATTTTCTAGGTTTTCTTCTTTTTTTTTTCGAACCAGTGCACTTCTCGGGTCCCCGGGTATACTATTTCCCACTCTATCAGAAAGAAGGTCGCACGTGCGCTACGTACTTCAACAGGCTTCTCCCGAATTGACGATTTCCCACATTCACAATGGTATATTATCAATAGCGGCGCGAGCGCCGGTCCCCTACTCTATTTTTGTTTTGATTGCTTCAGGTTATTTTTTGTAGACAAAATACTTTTATTCTACCTATCTGCAATCATTTGGCTTGTCGGCACCCGACCTCGTCGCCTCGCTTCTGCTGCCAGTTTACAATTAGATGACACCCGTGCCGCGCTACGCATGCGGGCGCCGCGGGTGCATAGGCACGAACGGTGTAGTGCCAGTGTGCAGTGGGCACGGAAGCGAACAAAGCACGTTGTGCATGCATACGGGTACGGGTGCTCCCGAACTTGTCACCGTGGGGGAGATCGGCCCGATTCCGCTGGGTGGGGAGTTCCGGCCCACGAAACGTGGGACGAAATGTCGGCCGGGTGGAGTTCCGCCCCTACGAAACATGGGACCGTTTAGTAGGCATTTCGGCTGGGTGGGGCCTGGCCCCACTTTCATCAATTTGATTTCCAGCCCCACGAAACGTGGGACGGAATGTCTGAAACACGGGCTATTTAATCGGCATTTCGGCTGGCTGGGTGGCTCCACTTTCATCAATTTAATGCTCCAACTCTGCAACGACGTTGGCTGGAGGAATTGCATTCCAGCCCAGAGAACCCTACCTGTTACACAGAGTAGAGGATTTCCCACTCTATCAGAAAGAAGATCATACGTTCGCTGCGTACTTTAACAGGCTACGTGTCAGTACCGCAATTTGGGGAGTCCAACTTCGATGCTTCTTACTCGGCTCTCGGCCAACGCTCGGACCGGGGTCATTAGTCACCATGATGCGCCATCAAACGAGACTGGCAGTCGTCGGCGGCGGCACTCTCAATGCTAGTAAGTTATCGGAGGCCAGTGGCAGGGCTCAGAATGGCGTTTATATTTATTTCCCAGACACAAACCCGCTTTTAGGTCATTTTAGCCTCGTGTGAAGATTTAAAAACAGTTTAGATGAAGTTGAACTGTCTAACAAGACAAAGTACTCGGTGTTGAGGACTAGAAAAATACTTCTCCGAAAGCTCCTTCCTAGCAGCGTTTATTTGACATCCCAGAACAATATAAAATTGAACAGCAATGGAAACCACCACAACTAAAAGGAATTTGAACCATTTGTTCGATTATTCCTCAATTCTGCAAATCATAGAACGTTCCAGCGCGAGTTTTATAATGTTCTGGAGTCAATGGAGTCAGTTTATGCAGCGAAACCACCCATACTTGAGTGAATCAACTAATTTAGCAACAAGAAAAAAGAACAAAACATGTCAAAAAGAGCCAGACAACATTAGAGGACAATTGGAGGCATTCAGGGTGCCTAGGGAACTCAACTACCACCTACATAGACCCTCCGTCACCGGCAGACATTGCCCAGAATCCGAATGGGGACATGGACTAAAATTCCGGTAATACCCGACTAAGAAGCATCCAGTCTCCCTTCCAATTTGGGTGCTGATCACAAAGATGAAGTTGTTCTACACGGATGTGTCAAGACACGACGGCAGTAAACATGAGGCTGGCTTTTCATTTAACGGTCCGATGGTCAAATGGGGAAATTGGACTTGGTCTGACAACAAAGAGAAAAGGAAAAGGCTACGTTGGGCCGATAAACATAATACGCACCGCCAAACGACAAACAACGTCCTCGTGGTCATTGGCAACTCGACGGAGGAGAATCAAGCATTGCTTGAATCGCGTTATTCAAGGGCAGAAAGACGAAGATCTGTATACCACAACTAATATTACACATATGCTCATTTTGTTCTGTTGGCGGATTAGCACAGTTGATGGGCACTTTAGCACTGTGTGTGCTGGGGTCTAGGTTCAATTCCCGGTTAAGCCACTATTTGGACAGTTCCCTTTTTACAGCTCTTTGCGGAACATAAGGCGCGGACCATTTTTTTAGTTTTTTCATACTTTTAACAAGAACACTGATATTGGGCTCAATTCTTGTCCGTTTGCCTTGAAAATTGGCTCATTCTATCCGCAATGAAAATGCGCAGCGGACCACCATTTTCATTTTTCCTGATGCAATCAGAATTGCCTTATTGGGGAAATATCAGTATTTTTGCCCAAAACAAAAAGTGTGATAGCTATAGGTATCCGACTCACTTGAAAATTTTAGAGGATAGTCTTGATTGTATTATAGAGCTGTAGAAATACCAGTATTTTTTATATCATCTCTATTTCCTATAAACAAGGTGTTCCAATATCTATCACAGTGAGAATGCAGAATACTGGTGAAATAAAGCACATATTAAAAATACCGGTATTTCCACAGCTCTGTAAGACAGCCAAGACCATCTTCTAAAATTTTCAAGTGAGTCAGATACCTATAGCTATCACACTTTTTGTTTTGGGCAAAAATACTGATATTTCCCCAATAAGGCAATTCTGATTGCATCAGGAAAAATGAAAATGGTGGTCCGCTGCGCATTTTCATTGCGGACAGAATGAGCCAATTTTTAAGGCAAACGGACAAGAATTGAGTCCAATATCAGTGTTCTTGTTAAAAGTATGAAAAAACTAAAAAAACGGTCCGCGCCTTATGTTCCGCAAAGAGCTGTAAGGTAATATAAGTGCCTGGTCGTTTTTCTTTTTTTTATGTAGCAGAATTATCCTGTTTCTATAGTACAACTGCGCTGTTTGGCCATGTAACGGGCAGCGACACAAAAGTACTCAGCCTCGTTTGTGTTACTTTACTTATTCTCCTTTTTTATCATTCGACGAGTAGCACGACGTTGTTGAGCAGCACGCGCCGCTGACCTCGGAATAGTTCGATTGCCGATCCGGTGGCTGTATCATGCCATCGAGCTGTCCCCGACTCACGTCGACAATACCGCCGCCACCGCACTCACACACAATAAACCATATGGTGCCTCGACGTCGCTCCGTATGCTCCGGCGACACATTTTGGACAGTATTCATTTATTTTATGTCATTTCTTGTCATTTTATTCTCTTGTCCTCCGGACTATCCGGAACTAGCGCAAATGGTTTGATTAGTTCGTGTTTGAGATAGTTTATTCATTTATGACTATAAAATCATGTACCTAGCTCCCTACCAATAATATAGATCGTTCCGCCCCAGTTTGATGGCTCGTATGCTATCATCTTAGTCCTTCGTCGTCCTGCAGCCCTCGTCGTACGCTGCACCGTGTCCCTCGTCGTTCACAACACCCACTCCTCTCCATCCTCTCCTTATCTTCCCTCTATTATCCACCATCACACCTTCCTCGAGCCCTGGGTATGGTTGAGCCCACTTGCACAATCACACACGCACCTAGCGTATCAACGTTTCTGTCACTTCTTTTAATAAAAAAAAGAACTATTACAGCATCCAGATGCAGATGAGATACTTTCATGGTTCCGCAGAGCTTGATTCTTCTATTGCTTGCTCGTACAAGTCGATACGATCATCCGATAGTTGAGGGGATATACTCAATGCACGGCTGAGAGTCAGACATTGCTCGTAATGCTGAAGGTCAGATCTGAAAGTCGAAGACGGTTGTTGCAGGCAGCAACAAAACCGAATGCGCGATCAAGAAAGCTACATCTTGCACAGTTCTCGACGCCGAGGTTGATGGAACAGTATAGTATTGCGTGCTCGGACATTAGTAGTTTTTCTTTCATTATTTTGTTTCTACTATTCCCGGAGGTTCCTGGAATTGGGCATAATCCGCTGCCCGTTGGAACTTAAGTTTGGGTTCGGCCGTTCCTGCGTGGGACCTTGCGCCGATGATAGTATGTAATAACAATAACGCTCCGCAAAAAAAAAAAAAAGACAAAGACATAATATGCTTACCTCATGATGTTGGCGGATTAGCTCAGTCGGTGAGAACCTAAGCAGTGAATGTGCTGAGGTCTGGGTTCGATTCCCGGTTTGGCCACTGGTTATCACGTGGAGGAGTTTTGTTTTTTATGTAGCAGAACATCATCTTCTTTTTCCAGTAGAACTGCGCCGTTTAAACACGGAACGGGCAGCGACACAAAAGAACTCAGCCTCGGCTGTGTGACTTTACTTGTTCACGCATTGCGGAGCCGCCCGGGCAGTCTATTGTTTCAAGCTTTCAATTTGTCTCGTCGAATCGATACGGCTGTCAATTATTGATAATGCAGGACAGAGAGACAGCAGATATTGCAGGCATCAGCAGATCCGAGTGGGCGGGCACATTAGATTTTGAGTAGTATTAGTATATACTATGGGACCTCCGCTTCCCTCCGCTTCAAGTCCCAGGTTCCTCCACAGCCGCGGTTTCGAGGATAACAATCCTAGTAGCGGTATTAAAATCGAAATCCGAATATTTTTTAGGTGTGACATAAAGCACGTGATGTTACAAAGTGACTGAAGTTGGGTTATCCATCCTCTCCACAGCGGCTGCCCGATAACATATACAAACAACATAGCCACATTTGCGATCAATTCTTGAGAAATTCATCCAGGGCCCTTCCACAGGGCAGATAAAGCTGTAGCGCCGGCAAGCGGCACTGCCCGTTACGTAGAAGATGTCACATTGTGAAACTTGATGTGCTTTCAGAGCACAGTACTAGTGTCAGGAAAAGAAATGATTTCTTGCCATATAAGTATACGCAAGACCCTTGTGTCTGAATGTCCTCTCAAATATGGCAAGACCTGTCCTCTTGCTCTTGCCAACTTCCCCTTGTTTCTAAGTTGGGACCTGTCACGGTCCTGGATGAGTTGAAAGACAGGCTTGCGGTTCGATGATCACACAATGCCACATAAAATGTTTTACCATCAGTTGAACAAGAGTGAAACTTGTAGTGGGCCACATTTGGCTACAGCTCAGCGCGATATAAAGGGGCCATAGTGTAACTCATCCATAGTGGCCACGTGCGACGACCTTTATGTTGCCTGCGAGCGCACAATCTTGGCACAATCACCATTACAACGAAGCAAGGATGAACATTATCTGCTGTCAGTCCAAGTGGGACCCCGCTCTGTCTTGGAGAGTGTCCTCTTGTCGTTGATATAACTTAGCAAAATGTTGTGATCACAGAAGTCAATGAAAATGCGCATCCTCCAAGGCTCCAACGTGCTGAGAAAAGCTGCGTGGAAACAAGGGGGGCAACGGTCAATATATTTCTGGGGTATCTGTACAATCCCGATTCCGTTAATTAGCTTGTGAGTCTTAATTGGTTTCCTGTGAAAATTCCTGAAGTGCATGTTCGTCTTCAGCATGGTGTAATGCAAAAAGGGCTGGATAATGTGATTAAAGGCTTTATAGTGGACTCCAAAGAGAGAACCAAGGTAAATTCCGTAAACTACAGCGGCTTAAATACAAAAGACTGCACAGCTATGTGCTATTGAAATAAATATCTAAAGGACTGTAATTATGAGCATAGGTATAGGTAGATACAAGAGAGAGAGAAAAATAAATAGACATAGCCAAGTGTCTGGGGAACAGTTGCACGGGGGGAGAGACAAGAGCATCTAACCATGCGACCACGTGACTCGTCAGTTTGGCGGCACCTTTTATTTCTTACTAGATGCCCGGGCCCTCCTTGGTGTCCCGTTGTCCATGTAAGCCAAATTGACACTTTCTACCTCGAGCGAATACTAGTAGGGCTACATAACGTCCCAGATCAGAGTATATTTGCTTGCAGTAAGTACATTTTGAGTACGTTGGCAGCCACCACTGGCAATGCTGCGCTCATGCGCCTTATATACGCGTGCAGCGCAGTGCAAATAGGAGTATATACTCATCTTAATTTTCTTGTGAATACTGCGCTGCTTTTTAGCAGAACGTCGACCGTTCATGTGGACACTGGATAGCAAGCGCGAGAAAGTGGCGGGCGGATTCACGGGCCTCCGAGCCGGAAATCGATGGCAGGTATCACATCGTCACGCGGCCGCACACGTAAAACTGCTGCCAATGTCGCACTCTGGACGTGGAGCCGCGAACGGCTAGTGCTGGTGAAATAAGCGGAAATGAATATGGATTTACCTCTTATTTTTTTCGTGAATTTTGCACTGTTTTCAGCACAACGTCATTGACGTCGGCGGCAGCAGCGAGCAGGAGGTGGCGAGCGGCAAGCGAGAAGTGTCTGCCGCCCATCTCTGATGGCAGCATGAAAGCCGCCGACTCACGTGAACCTTTGAAGGGAGTAAGCACTATTATGACCGCCGTCTTGAAGCCGAGGCATTTTGGCTGAGGGATTTATGCCTTACGCAAAAACAAATGACAAAGTATGATAGCCGACCTTCCATAAAAGGCAAGAATGTGATGCTGCCCGCAAATCGAAAAATCAGGCGCTCTATGAAACCCATTACTTACGTAACGGGAATAAAATATATTGAGTGGTTGAGAGCTTTTATTTTGGTTATATATGCACCAGACTTGAACAATGAAGCTTGCATCAATACAGCACTCCACTGATATACCCTCCAGCCAATATTGACAAAACTGGGGACTCTTGCTATAGCATACAGAACATGGGGAGTTTAAACAAAAACAGTGTCTAGGTACCTTGCTCTATAACCTCAGCACTCAATTACTCACAGATGGTATATTAACTTGGCGTTGGAGAGGCCGTGTTGTAGTTCCCTTAAATTGCTGACAAATGTGGCTATGTTGTCTGTATATGTTATCGGGCAGCCGCTGTGGAGAGGATAACCCACAACTGCAGTCACTTTGTAACATCACGTGCTTTATGTCACACCTAAAAAATATTCGGATTTCGATTTTAATACCGCTACTAGGATTGTTATCCTCGAAACCGCGGCTGTGGAGGAACCTGTTCAAGTCCAAGCTTCCCCCGCAGCTTAGCGGTACGGGGGCACATAACCTGTCAATGTCTTCTTCATCGCGGCGCTGATATTGATATTGTGCCATGCTCGTGCCTTAGTAGTATCATAGACCGATACTGATATGCATGCTCTTCCCTGTGTTGCGGCGGAATAGCTCAGTTGGTGAGCTCCTCAGGATCGATGTGTAATGCTGTGGTCTGGGTTCGACTCTTGGTGCAGCCATGTGATGGTATAGACTTCATCTATTTTTAACGAGTAGTACGACGTTTCCGTCACCCTCTTTTTTTTAAAAACTATTACAGCATCCAGATACCTGCGATACTTGCATGGCAGAGCTTGATTCGTCTATTGCATGCTCGTACAAGTCGATACGATCATCTGATAGTTGAGGGGATATACCAAGGATATACTCAATGCACGGCGGAGAGCTCGTGATGTTTAAGGTCAAACGAAGACGGTTGTTGAAACCGAATGCGCGATCAAGAAAACTACATCCTGTACAGTTCTGGAAAGTTATCCATTGACATACGTACTAAAAAGAGGGTGAGTGGCAAAACGCCATCGAAGGAAGACCGAGTACATTTACAAGCACCTCGCCCAAACCAAGACACCTCAGACAACCAACACCGCCGGCGCATTCGACGTTGTAAGCCCGACGCGCCCGCGAAGCTTCCCCTGCTCCGTCGCATACACGAACCCGCGCACCGCGCGGCCGCGGTCCTCCTCCCTGTACTCCAGCTGCCGCGGGTCCTCAGGCTCGGCGTCCGCGCGGCGCACGGCTGCCGCGCGCCCGCGCACGGTGAACGCGCCCTCGTACGCGCGCGGCAGGCGCACCTCCGCGCGCGCGTTGGACGTGCGCGATTCCAGCGTGAGTGCGGCGGCCGGCGGCGCGGCGGGCAGCGCGAGCGCGAGCGCGCCGTTGGACGTCGAGGCGTCGACGGAGAAGCGGCCGCCGCGCGCGCGGGCGGTGTGCGCCGCGAGGGTCACGGTGGCCGCGATCTGGCTGCGGGCGGCGTGAGCATGGCGCGGGTGCGCGAAGACGGAGACGGGCGACGCACTTGTTGCTGGTGCGCATGGTGAGTGCCGAGGGCGGCGTGCCGGGCCCGTTCTCCAGGCCGACCGTGACGTTGATCGGCGCGTTGGACGTGGTCATGGACAGCGTGCCCGAGCTGTTGAACGTACCGGAGATCCCCGCGTTGGAGGTCGTAAGCGTGAGGTCGGGGGACACCACGGACTGCGGGCCTCGGTGAGCGTGCGGGATATCCAGTTAGTTCAGACGTACATTTGCGGTAATGGCGTTGTTGGATGTGCGCAGCACAGTAGTGCCGGCGGAAAGAGACTGGATGATGGGTTATCGGCGGCATCAGAGAAAGGCAGACTTTTCTACCTTCACGCGGACGCGCGAATTGGATGTAATAAGAGAGACCGACTTGAAATCTACGGCCTCAAGCAGGGCCCCGACATCGAAGGAAAAGTTGGGCAGGTCGGCATGGAGGCCTTTCAGTTGCAGCGGGGTCGTGGCCTCAGGCAGAACCAGGCGGATTTTCATGGACGCGGAGCCCGTGTTCTGCAAGGTGCCTAAGTAGGGAAACAGCCGCCACTGTCGCAGACACGCACGAATATCCCGAGGCCGACCTCGTCGCCCCGTTGCATGAGGCACACGCTCGCGCCGCCGATGGAGCTGACGACAATCTCCGCGGTGTCGTTGAGGCGGGGGGAGGTCGTGATGTTCACGACGCCCGAGAGTGAACCCCCCCACGGGAAGCTCGGCTGCTTCCCCTGGCGCGACATGAACAGTACGGTGTCGCGCTGGAGGGGGATCTCGAACATCGCGTCGCCGGCACGCTCAAACTTGGTGGGCACGTCGGAAGACATCCCGGCCGATTGGCTCACACACCGGTCGACGGCCATATCCGCCGGGATGTCGAGGTGCACCTGGCGAGCCTGAGGTACAGCATAAGTGGAGCACGCAAACGGACAGGAAACATACCCGGTGGATGTGGGTGTACATGTGATGCACCGTCGAGCGTAAAACAACCCACAGAGGGAGTCCAATAAGCAAGGCAACGACGAAGCAGCGCAGGGGGGAGCGCCTATGCCGCTCGGGCTGAGCGACAGGTA